AATAAAGCTGAGTTGCATTTGCAGATAGCAGCAGCAGCAACAATCAGCGTGTTTACATCAGTTTCCAAACATGAGCGACATAATTTCACCCACTGAAACAAGAGCATGGACGAGGAAATGATGGAGGGTTGACTGGAAGATAGTTTCAATTTGGTTTGTTTTGCATCCTTATCAACACTTTGATAAAATCAGTCATTTCCAGTTTAGTCTCCAAACTATGAAAAATTTAGATTTGATAGTTTAACTCCCAAAGACTGGTCTCATTTCCTCACCGCAGTGCTGTTAGTGGGACACTCATTCTGTTCAGTTTCACAGCTCCTTTTTAATTAATTAATTTATTTTTTCACTTTTTTTCTCACTTCAGTCATATAGGCTTAAGTGCTCCTTTTTGAAGCCGGGGTCAGTTATAGTTTTTTCTTTCCTACTAGTGTTTTTAGAGTTTAATATGAGATGCTTCACCACAATAATAACCCAGGTCCATGGTGATAGTGGAGTTAGTGATTTCATGTTATCTTCCCTCCGTGGCCTTTTTTATTCCACAAACTGAGTGTCCTTCTCATTTGAGAAATTCTCACTGGTCCATGACCCTGGGTTTAAATACATATTGAGCGGCCATGACGTGTTTCAGTGGATCCATTTCATTTTCTTTTTCTCACCTTTAGTCGCCTGCTTTGTTTTTCTTTTATTTTTTGATAATTACAACACTCCGAGTTTGTCCTTATCGTCCTGAACGTTAGCATCACTCGATATCTGGATGAGCTGAAGAGCGCAGTGACCTGAACGTGTCTCCTGATGAATACATGTGCAGCTGTTGGAAACACGCTCAGGTCAGCTGTCGTGTCCTCGTCCTCTCCTCCACCAGGACAGGACAGTTTTGTGGTGAAGCAGACTTACAGCCTTCCCTCATTACCGCAGCACTCAGCCGGAGATTGGGAGTTTTTATTAGACAGCATGACAGCCGAGGAGCAGGCAGACGGTGGAAATGAGCTGGTGGTGAAACTGTGTGGACACCACAGGAGGCTTCGGTTGTCACATTAGATGTTCAGTCTTCTCCTGAACTGCCAATCATGAAGCCTCAAAGGTGGACGCTCACGGTGAGGTAGACGTTTGTCTGTGCGGTGTCTCCAGGAGACGAAAGCTTCGTTCACTCTCTTCTGGTTTATTTCTCTGATTGGATATTTTAGTTTGGTGTTTTATCTCCAAACCTGGTCTGGATCAGGCTTCTGTCCAAACTGGGAACATCTCTGATCATGTGCTACAGTGAGTTTGCTATCAGCTGATTCTTCTTGGTCTCTCTTTGGCTTCATGTTTTATTTCTTTACTGCTGTTTTATTTTACTTTGAGGTTTATGTTTAAATGTTAAATGTATTTGTTTTTATTCTCCACCTTTTCTTTCTTTCTTTCCTGGTGTTTAAATCCACGTTATCAAAAATAAACTCTTTGTTCAGGCTGATATTTATCTTTGACACGTTTGATTGTTCCTGAGACTTTTTCTTTCACACTTTTCTCTCACCTTGTGCCGCCTTATTTCTTTCCTGTGTGTTTTATCTCACAGTATGGTCTCTCATTTTAATTTAACTCTGTCTCGTTGTTCTCTTTGTTTCCTGGGTTTTATTGTTGGCACTCTGAGCTACCTCCGCTGTATGAAAGGGACGATCTAAATGAAGTTTTATTAGAACAATTGTTGTCATTAAAGGACGATATAAGAGGGACAAAAGGAGCTTTCCTCGGCTCTGTCACCGATAACCAGCTCATCACTGGGTCTCAGAGTATAGGACAAACCGAAGTACAGAATATAGAGCTGGTTCAGCGAGAGGCCAAACTACCACAAGAAGTCGACCTGAAACATCTTCTTATTAAAGATCTGGACTGTGTTTTTCACTCTGTGTACGTTTACTGACCTTAAAACAGCAGTAAGGCGTTAGCTGTGAAGAACCAAGTCATCTTTATTTTCCAGAAATGAAAGAAAAACCAACAAAAGAATTAAAATCCCCAAAGTAAAGAGAGTTTAACATCACTGATGACCTGCTGCTATTAGTCAGTTTGTTGAACTTCAAGTTTATTTATTTCAGGTTTTGTAAAAAGATAAGAGAATCCTGTACTTCTACCACATTATGTCCATTTGAACTGAATCATACAGTAATAGCACAGACACATGTACGTTTATTAATTTGATCGAACCCTGGATTACTGGAATATTTGATCCCTGCAGCCCTGAGAAGACGTGCGGTCTGATTTCTGGATGATGGCGGGCTGGTGTGTCGTCGGAGCCATTAACTCAGACCAGCAGCTCATCTCCTGCTCCTGCAGAACGAGGCAGTGAGGGTTTACTGGCCCTTCCCCTGAGGCAGGATGCCAGTCTATCACTGAGCTTTATGCTCATCCATCTTTCTGACACTGAGCTCCAACCAGAGAGGCATCAGGTCCAGGTTTTAAAATCTTTTCCGGGAACTTTTGGAGCTTCTATCTCCAGACCCCGCAGTATAAATCTCCTTTTTCACAAAGCAGACCACTCTGTGTTTTATCTATGACTGCACCCAAGGTAAATACGATTAATTTGGTAGTGGATGCGGTTGTTTGGGCCTGTGCGAGTGCGTGCAGGTCATCAGGCCTGAGGGATGCTGCAGGAAATATGCTCCTGCAGACTGTGATGAAAAGACAGGACAGGCAGACTTTATCGGTGCCCACAGCAGGGATCAGGTTCTAGCCGGAGTGAGTCTGATGTTATGGTAATAGATAGGGGGGTCCAGCCACCAGCCAGGCATTCACGCTATCGATTTCTGCGAGATATTTTCCAGAGTAATCAAAGAGCCGTGAAATCCTGACTCTGTGAGCGCGGGGAGCTTCAGGAGACACTAACTGGATTTCTGTCTGTGGTGGACTGAGAGTTGAGTAAACTGACACCTCTTTCTCACTAATGTACACATACTGCTGCTGCTGGGGGGGGTCCGACAGCAGGCTACAAACTGGACAATTGGGGTCATGATCTGGGTCAGTGGACCAACGGTTCATGTCTGCTGTTACTGTAGGGAAAGAGTTTGTTGACCCTCCTTCACCCCAAACTGACACAAAAACCCGCGTTGGTTTAGTCTGAGGCTGCAGGAGCTGCTGGGTCTCCTGCAGGAGCTGCTGGGTACCCTGCAGGAGCTGCAGGTCTCCTACAGGAGCTGCTGAGTCTCCTGCTCGACCTGCTGGTCTCCTGCTGCTGATTTCAAACCCTCAAATATCGGCTGTCCACGTTTCAGCGTGCAGATCAGTCTTTAATTTAGTGTTAATCTTCAACCAAGACAGGACTGTCCAAACATACTCGGGCTGGGACGATATCCTTTTCTCTCGATTTGAGTCTTCTACGATTTTTTTGGATGCCGATTTGATTTAAATTGTGATTTTACGAGATTGTTAATTTTCTCGATATTTCTTCTGCATTTTTAACTCCAGTGAAACAGTTGAATGATTATGATTGTCTACTGACTATTCAAGGAGCCATATTTCCCCCAAAATACAAATCACATCTAAGTCAGTTTTCAAGATTTATTCTTAAATTTGAAAATTAAAAAAATTGATTCTTTAACATGAGAATCGATTTAAAAATTGTAAAACAAAAAATCGGGATACTGGTAAGAGACAGGACAGAAGGGTGTACTGACGGTCGACTCCAAATAATGTGACCAGATGAGCAAAAACTGAACGAGCTGGTTCAGTTTGATTAGTTAGAGCTGCTTATTTTGTCCCAAAACCCTGGAAAAGAAAGGAGGAAAGCACCTTAATTAGTTTTAGATTTAAAATCTAATCTATAATAAATAAAAAAGTCAAACCTATAATTTACATGTTTTTTCCTTCATACCAACAAACCTAAATCAGACAAAACTAAAGGTTAAACGTCCTAAACAGATAAACTGATGTTTTCCCGTCACTCCTCATTGGTCGGCTTGTGTTGCTGACTGTTTCTGGAATAATTACCACAGAGCGTTTGCAAATGAAGACTGTGAGTCATCACTTTGTATTAGGAGTTTGAGTCTAATGAGTGCAGAAAAACAATCCTCCTAAAGTCGAAGGAAAATATTACAAACTGAACTCTCATTAAGCTAATTGTGTTAAGTTCATTAAGAAACAGCTTTTAATGGGTGTACTGGCAGCTCCTCCAATGTGAGCCTCTCCAAATAGTCTGCCTCTTTTTATAATAAGGGTAAATAGAAGAGATGGAAACTCAATAAGAATTGGTAAATAACAGGACTGGTAAAACAGTGAAAAATAATAGGAGTCAGAAATAAACAATTAAAATCAGTATGAGATCAATTCAACAAAAATAAAGTCCAAAAACAGTTTTAGTTTGCTGTCCGGTCAGTGTTTGAGTTTGATACACGAGGAAACTGACTTAAAAGAGAGAGTTTGACTGTTTTTACTAATTTCAAGCTAAACTTCTCCTAAACTTTTATTTCTCATTAAATTATTATTTTATTCTCAAAGTCAGGGATTTTTTTTGTCTCAATGCTGCCCTCATACTGACTCAAATAATTGTTGTTTAACTGGTAGTTTCTGTAAAAACGGTGAATTTATCTGTTAAACTGATAATATCTGAATACGTCTTAACATCTCTGACTTAATTCTCTGACTAATTTAGTTTTTCTTCTATTAAACCGAGCTCAGCTGTCATTTCTTACTTATAACTGATCATTTCCATTCAACAGAGAGCCTTCGCTAAATGAAACTCTAACATTGTAGAATTGTCTGTTCTCCATTACAGCAGTCTGCTGTTGAGAAATAACAGACCGTTGCTATGAGCTGTTGCTATGCAGTCAGTGACCAACCAAAACAAAGCAAACTGTTATTAAGGGTCCCTGGACGTTCCTCATTAACTTGATTGCAGCTACAATCTTAACTGCCAGCTCATCAGTTATTGCTCTTCTGTTAAGTCAGTTTTATCTCCTCTGTTAAGTCAGTTTTAACTCTTCTGTTAAGTCAGTGTTAACTCTCCTGTTAAGTCAGTTTTAACTCTTTTGTTAAGTCCGTTTTAACTCTTGGAGTAGAGCTTTGTTTTGGGGTTCTCTGTATCCTGTTAAACTGGTTTTAATCTGCTGAATTCGTGTTATAGCGTCGGCACATACAGAGATGCAGGTCTGGTTCCAGTTATCGGTCTCCTGGTTTAGTCTCCTGCAGACAGAAACACATTATACAGATCATTATTACCTAAAACAGGCTGGGCCTGTTGACCGGTGAAATCAGGAGTCCTCCCCGTCCTGCTGACTCACAGCAGCTCACGCGAACCCAAGGCCATCTGCTCGTCCTCGCCCTCCTCCTTTAACTCTGAGTATCTCCCTGCACAGTCCCGGTTCAGGTCCATTGAGTATCTTATTAGCAGCGGTGAGGAGCCGAATACAAAGAGCCAGAGTGAGCTGAAGTTGGTATTGATTGTCTATAATTAGTTGACTTTTAAAATGTTTTAAATTTCTGTACAAATGAGGCTCTGTGAACTGTGTTCAAAGCAATGCTTCACAGTGATTAAACACTTTTAATTTGGCCTCTTTCAGGCACATCTGAATAAAGCTTATTGTATTTTGATTTCAAAGACTCGGCCTGAAAATTACGCCTTTAACATTTCTATTTATTGAAAAGCGGAGCTCCTCTCTCATAAGGGTGTCAAAAAAACAGAGTAGCATAAATAGTACTTTAATAATGGGATCACATTTCCTCTGAATTTCTGAGCTGAGTGTTTTCTGATGATGGTTTCCTCTCAGTTTGAGCTCCAGCTCTTCATCAGAGGACTGACGCTCCAACACCGTCATTTAGGCTTCAGCCTGTCACTCAGAGGTCACCCAGAGGTCACTGCAGGGTGGGGGTAAAATGATACAGCTGATGTATGATGTATTTATATAGACTCCATGACTATTATTACAGTCTTATTGCTTTAATACTATTATACTGTCTTCTTCTGTAATGGATGTGTTGGTTTTTGGTATCAGGATATTATACAGTGTCATGTGATGACGGCTCTGAAGGTCAAGATGTGATTTTTACTCCTGGGGTGACCTGTATTCTGGATTTTACGGTAATTATTGAAGATTTTTAGATTCTCATTTGAGGATTTTCTGCTTTTTTGTCACTTCATTTATCACCTGTGCTGCACAGGCGACAGAGAAGGTCTGAACCTCGAACACACACAGACTCATTTTGGTCAGCCATCTGCCGAGAAAGTAGAGACAGACAGACAGACAGAGAGAGAAGGCCAAAATAAGGAGTCGGGTTTTTACTGCGGACATGTACGAAGTTCCTCAGACAGAACAGCAGCGTGATTGACGGCTCAGTGATTTGTCTGTAGGCTGTAGGAATGATCTTTGTTTCTGTCCTTGGTGCTACTCGGCCTTCTTACCTTTACCTAGAAATATCTTTGACTATCAACCCCCGGATTCATCATGTCTTTAAAGTCTGAGGTCAGGTTTACCTCATGTACACATGCAGTATCTCTACTTTGTGAGATTTGAAGTACAGATGTGTTTAAAGGTGTCTTCGCTCAAGTTTGAAAATATATCTACAGCTCAGATCCTCTGGAGTGAGAAACTTTGAAAAGCAGCTTTGAGAGAAAATAGCCGTGCAGTCTGAAGAAGCCTCATTGCTGCTGCTGCGGCGCCTGGTGTAATTGTGGCGCGATCGTTTCAGGAGGAGTTATCAGGATGTGCACTGAATGATCAAACCTAATGGCGTTGGGAGGTATGTGCTCGGGCCCCTTATTTTTATTTTATGGCCTGAGACAGGGCAGCGGGGTTAACCTCATCATGCAGCCGAGTCATTATCGCCTCTCATCTTCTCGGCCATTGATTGCTCCCAGCGTTTGGGAATGGGATCCTTCACATTATCGGCCCTAAATACCGGTATCAATCATGTATGAAGTGATAGATTTTCAGCAATTATACATGGATGCGTTTTCCGTATGCAGGGCTGGAGACGGCTCTATATCATAGCTAATAGTGGATGTGCTCACCTATTAAACATGAGTGAGGACTCGGTTTCTAAACCTGGAGCTCAATGAGGTAAAGTTTGGATTTTATACGTTCAAAAACACACTTTGTCAGCTTGGAGTTAATCTGATGCCCGGTCGGAGCAGCAGCTCGCTCAGAGGCACGTGAACGGCGCTGAGGAAGGAAACCGTGTGTCTTATCTTTTTTGACAACAAAGCAGGTTCTCGCCGCCGCCGTAATCCCAACACTACAAACTCTTTGATCTCGCCTCTTTGTGTTCGGGGAGCTTCATTGTCATTCGGCGCCGTTGTCTCCAGAGCAGAGCCTGATGGAAATTCATGTAGAGCAGAAACACATTTTCACAGACTTGATGTGACTTCTGCATGTAGAGACATCTAGTCCTGTCTGCGAGTCTAGATGTGATAAAAGATTCTGCCTTTATTACGACTCTCCTGCTGTTATTTCCTTATCTGAAACGTGTGCAACAGCAGGAGGAACACGGGGTCAAAGGTCATCAGACTTTGCAGGTACATGGTGTGTGCTGTTCTGAAAAGAGAGATTGAAGAAGTAAAGAGACTCTAAAGTGATGAAAGTTTCCTCACATGGTCCACAACTTCACTTTCCGCTCCTCTCCTCTTCATTCTTTCCCAGAATTTAAAATTCAGTCGGGGTTCACTCAAACCAGGAAACACAAACTGGACTGTGAGACTCTGCAGAGACCATTGTTGTTGTAATCAATCAATCAATCAATCAATCAATTAAACTTAAAGCAGTTTTCAGACATAAAATGTAGCACAAAGTGATTTTCATTCACACAAGATATTAAAAAACAATGACGTAAAATAATAAAAATACAAATACCAAACCCCACCCACCCTCCCCACCCCCATTCAACACATACAGCACTCACACACTTATACACACAGATACACACACTAAAGACCAGGTCAACTCATCATAGATGACTGAGGAAACACTATCTTGAGTTAAAAAAGATGAGACTAAAAAGGTCGTTCTTCAGTTTACTTTTGAAATTTTTAAAATGTTTTGAAATGTTAAAATGTTTAAAATGTTTTTTTTCTTTTGTTGCTTCCTGATTGGTCCCAGAACCCGATTTGTACTGCGCATGTGCGAAATGTACGTCTCTTCTTCTACTAGCCATCTTTGTGACAGCTTAGCAAGTCTTCGCCGCTCACGGTTTGCGACAGTTTTGACACTTGTTCGACAGCTTCAGCATCAGCGAGATCGCTACAGTCAGAAAGGATGCTTCAGTTCATAACAGCCACACACTTTTCTTTTCTTCTGAGTTCTTCCCCCAACTGAAGCAGAGCGCCGTAAAGTCCAGAGAATGGCGCCCAGTTTTACGATTAAAGGTTCCTACTCCAGCTAAATTCTAAAATTGTAACGTAGTTCTAAAAGGCTTAAATGAATGTCAATATTTCAGTGTTGAAATAGAAACGCTGTATAAAAACGCTGAAATTCATTGTCCATAATGTGTCGGCTTCTTGTTAATAAATTAAATTTATAAAATAAATGAAATAAATCCCCCCTTGATACTTGGAAAAGTCAGAGAACCATGATTTTGACCAGGTGGTGGCGCTCTCTGTGGCCCAAAAGGTCTCACCGTTCTGGGCAGGAGCTCTGGAGAATACCTCGGCATTAGCCTAGGAGCATCCCGCTAGCTAGCCTAGCAGGAGGCTAAAGATTTTAAGGTGAAATAAATCTGCACTTTGCAGTACGGGTCGGGTAGGTAGCAATAGTAACGACTATGGTAATGAGCGCACCTTAACCTTACCGATCAAACGCAGCAAACAAACTCCGTGTATACGGTCACACGGTTTATATCAATATACCGCCCAACACTAGTCAACAACACTAGACTCCATCCATCTTTAGTCCCGTCTGTGGTCGTGATACTGAAAAGCCAGAACTGCTCTTTTTAAAATCCAGTTTGAATCAGTGAAAGATCCAATTATTCACCACCATCAGCACACAGAGTACCAGGAACCTGAAAGCTTCAGTTTAAGAGACCCACAGAGGAACCGAACAAAAGGACTCAGGAGGTTTTTAACTGGAGTGAATTCAGTGTAAAGAAAAGATCATTAGAAAGCACTGAAGAGGACGGTCTCTCTGTAAAGTCTGTCAGTCTGAGGTTTTATTGACGGGCTGTAAACAGACAGCTGATACTCACTTTAGCTGAGGCTGCTTCTTTGTTTAACTTGGTAACGTGAAAGGAGTGAAATCCTTCAGCCTGTTGATCAGTTCAGTTCAGACAAAAACTCTCCGTTAGAATAAAAGGATGACAGACTGACGGCTCTGCTCAATAAGAAGACGGCGAAAAGTCTCTTCAAGGTGAAAAAACATTGATTATTAACTGTTAAAGGAGTTTTATCAGGCTCTGAGCTGAAAAAGACACATACAGACGTCTGAATATGACACTGTTGAATAATAATAATAATCATGAATGTGATCACTTGAGTGTCTCTGACTTTTTAAATCTGTGTTTTATAATTTAACTCCATTATCTCACCTGAACAGTACATGATCTCACAGTGGATTAAAAATCAAAATGAAAATATCTTTAATTCAGTCAAAAATTCTCTTGAATAAAAACCCTGAATTGTCTCCATAGTGACATTCAGTCTTCTCTTGTATCAGCGTTTTCATCCACAGCCGACATTTTCCCCTGAATCTTCAGCAAACAAACACAAACTACAAACACAGACTCATGTAGAAACTGATGAATTAGATTCACTGTCTTATCAATAAACAGCTCTAATTGAATTAACTGTAGTCCTGGTATACTAACAATATAAAGTCATTTAAAATGTTTTTTTTTCCAGTCTAAATATCTGTTTTTATAAACTGACCTTTTTTAAAAAAGTTATACTAAATCAGAAATATCAAACTTGATCAGAATTGTTATTATAGTTATAAACTTCATATAAATTAAACCTCTGATGATCATCAGTTTTCTCAAAAATCTAAATCTAAACATATGAAGACAGCTGAGTTGTTTTTTCAGCCTCCTGTCAATCACTTGGTCCGACTCCTCCCACCTGTTTTAAAGCATTCACAGTTACAACCACTGATATATATATATATATATATATATATATATATAGATCACGAGACACGCCCGCGCGCTGCAGCAGCCAGTTAATGCTGCGTTCGAGTCAGATGTCCGAGCTGAAAATGACGACACACCTGAGTTACGAGTGTTTCCGTTACCAAGTCGGCGAAAAGTAAAATCGGAGGCGGGAACAATATGGCTACGAAAGGGGATGCTAAAATAACTTCCATAGATGTAGCCATCTTGTTTCAGGCCTTAATCCAAATGTTACGTATTTATGGTACATGATTTGGAGTTATGACTTATTTTCCATGA